TAATGCTTGCTTTTGCACTTATACTACCTTACATGAAGACCCTCTCCTAATGCGACCCTAGGGGAAGGATAAAGATAATTTGAATAAATTTTCATTCCTCTCCTGGAGCAAGGATAGCATACGGCAGCTGATACTATGAGATAACAATGTGCAACAACAGGTGAAAGTCACGCAGCTGATATAATCTGTGCTGATACTTGTTAATACTTTCAGCACCCTCTCGCACCTTTTGGCATCAACTGATCCTCGGTTGTCATTCATGTCGCATGCCCATCGCCGATACTCTGCGTTGTTCTTCAAATTGTTCAATGTGGAGTAAGTTACTTCTTTTTTCAAATCCATCTTTCTAACGCTTCAAAGTTTTTTTTTGAGTTATGCCGTTATTTGTGCTGGGTCATTTGAAACATTGCAAATTTAGCATGCTTTGACCCGGGCACTTTGAACATGTTGACGGCATCGCGCGATTTGGCTTTTTTGCCGTGAGACGGCGCGGTTTTGCGAGCGTGATCACCTCACTCACATTCATGGATTTCCAGCTCTAAATATGCAAATGCGGATGCGAGAAAATGTTTTCGATAATGGTGAATGTGTTTACCTTATCGGGAGTCACAGTAATATGTAGAAGTTTGACCAAAATGACATTTTAATGGAAAGGCAAATTTAAATTATTTTCCCTGTAGTGGTTTCAAAATTATCCTGAACAAAGCTGTGTCAGTGAAAGACATCTTGCCATTCAAATAGGTTTATATCTAACTGTATTTCTCTTTTCGTCTGCATGCTTATGTTAGTGAGAAGAAAACGGAGAAATGAACCAAACAGACATTTTCGTCAGGTCTGGAAAACCCTGCCGAAGTAAAGCTACTACCGTTCGTGATTCACATCGTTTTGACTAATTTGATTTATCTCCTGTAGAATGAACAGTAAAAACATAGGAAGAACTCAAAAGGAAAGGGCGCGCACAAATAGTGAAGGTAATGGCTGTGGCATGCATAGTTGTCACGATGTTCGCCTGCGAGTAGCGGCATACATAGTTGCCGCGCTGTCGTCAATGTGTTAATGCGAGATCATTTTATATTTGTTTGTTCAAGGTTGCTGCGAGTGGACGGTTTCTCACGGCACAGTTTCTCTCCTCCAATTAGTATGCCGAAACCGATGCCTCATGAAAAGAAACTGAAAGATGTAAGTAAACCTTTTTAGGCTTGGTCTTTTTTGGTTCATACGTTACACTGCTATCTTCGAGCACTACATCTCCAATTTTAGTTGAATCTCATCAACGGCTTGTTTTACGCTGTGGGTATTCGCCCAAATCGTTCAGTGACTCTGGATTCAATCGAAGTCGGGGCACCGAATCCTGAAGGAGAAGAACTCGATTCGCGCTGTTTGTTGACTTTTGCTTACTGGATGAACATCATTGGAAAGCAGCAGGCTTCCAAGAAGACGGGAAAAGTTCTACAGTGAGTTACGTTTATTCATTAGTTGTTTCACTTTGTGATGGTTGTAATCGCTAGAATCGTACGATGGTATCTGTACTTGACTGATTGCAGAGAACTGTGCCCGGAATCGTGCTCGTCAGCGTTCCTCGTTGTAGACAAAGATTGTCGAATAGGAGAGCTTTCAAATGTTGCCCTCGAAAAAGCCTTCCTGGCCGTGAGGGAGGAATTCCAACACCTGAAGAGCTTTGAAAATTTCAAAGAGAGTATAACATCCTAAGAGGAGTGCCTGATTTTTCCTGCTACTTTTTGAATTGTTTTATGTGACGAAGGTGAGCTATTTGAAGTGGGAGTAGGGATCTATGCGAATGGCTGCATGCCGAGTATATGTATGCCATTGCCAAGCAAAACTGCGCCATGTGTACAGAAAAAAAGAAGAAAAAAGGAGGGAAGGGCCCAAAAAAGTCGCTTTTTCCACTTATTTTAAAAACTTATTTGGTCAGTTTCGGCTAAAAATGCACCGATACACTCCATCACTAAACTATAAAACCTTTTCGCATGGGACGAGGTTATAACAGTGTGCCCGGCGAACATGAGGCTCTGACTTTAGTGAGATCCTTAATTTTCATTCGACAATCGTGAACGTTCAGGCCATTGAGGGCGCGGTCCTTCTCTTTTCCGTGCACCCTTCGGTTTTAGCGAGTGGTAATTAGGCGTCCCCTAGCACTATGCAATCAGTTGTTCTGTAGCACGGGAATGCCGCAACGTTGCAACTGAGAGCTGGCGGATTTCATTGCCAGGTTGAAATATGTTGTGTTAGCGTTCTTTACCAGCGCAAGCTTATCCAATATTATATCGGCGTTCGTACTTGAAGAGCTCCAGCTCACTAAAACTCATCACAACGGCTAGTCGACCTCCGAAAGAATGTGCGCGAAATGCCGAATTGAAACGACGACGTCTAAAAAGCTGTTGGAAGGAGTGTTCCATAAACAGAGCTACGTTCTCCAGGTACCGGTTCACCAGTGAGTGTCGTAAAAATGCTGTCAACCTTCAGTTACTTAAGAGTGAAGTAAATACGGTAGCCTCGAGCTCTTCAGCAATGGCGAATAGCCTTATATTCCCAATGGTAAAGACGTTTGATGGGGTTTGTTCATGTGGCGTTTTTGGAATATTTTGCAACGTATCAGCAATGGTTCCCGTTTCCCTAAGGGCGCAAATTTCGCGATGCGCTATTAGCGGATTTTTTGGGCGCTCCCCTGCATAAATTCACCGATGTCAAATCCGTTGTTGTGGTCTTCTAATCACTATTGGAATCGTATTTGGACTCGAGGTTTTATAGTTGTAGTAGCGGCGATGAGGAAAAGAACGGTTAAAATCATGGTGTTAATCCACCTCTCGTTACTATGCGTCATATACTTCAATCCGGAATCAAAGTCGGTATTCCATTGCGATTCGAATGAATTAGATGGATCGATAAATGTGTAAATTAGCTCTTTCTTCCAGACCAGTGCATGAGCTTTTCTCTTTGGCACACTTTTTCTGTCCCTAACGGCGATTTCCAAGGTGATTCTGTTCAGAGGGGCATTCAATGAAATCGGCTTCAACAGAGGGCGCCATAATCTAGAAAAGGGTCTTGCTTTGAAGGTGTCCCTTCAACAAGTGGTCTTCACTGTCAAAAGCGAAGTTGGATTCCATGCAGAGAAGGGGAGGGAGCTCTGACGCGACAGTTTATACCACCTAAAGTAATCGATGATATAATTTTCCGCAGAAGAGCGACGCTCAAGAGTGGGTGTAAAAGAGGACGTGCACCACGGGGAGTTCCTTTCCTTGCAAAATTTGGGGTTTCGTAATTGGTGCTGTTATCGTCCTCGCCTACACTGTAATATGCACCAATTTGCGGGGAAAAATTTTCCCCAAATTTTTTTTGTGGAAACTTTCCTTGGACTGGATGAGGACCAGTGCGCGTGTCATGCATTCGAACCCTTTGATTTTTATGTTGTGAATTTTCATAAGTTCTAAATCTCTATTGTTTATTTCACTGTTTAAAAGAGATAATCCTTTATGTTACTACATTCATGATTCTTTACCCTGTGCAGGCCTTGTGTTCGTTGTTGTGTCTCAAACTAATGTGTACCGATGTTCATTTACTCAATACGGGATCATTTTGTTTTATACGATGAAGCTTTATTATAGCCGTTAGAATACTGTATGTTATGAATGTGCATAAACTGTTATTCTGGTACTTCTTCGTACACATCTTCAAAAGCTACTATGCCTACCTGAACTGATTTGAATCTTGACAGTTTAAAGGAAAAAATGAGGGAAAATCTAATGTGTTTTTCTTAACATGATTGTGTCAGTTGTGATCACTGGAAAAGCACACAAAGTTTCACGCATGAAGATTCGGTTTCCAAAGAAACAAAAACTACACTCTATGGACATCGAAGGTAAAAGGCGCGGAG